GCCGAGGATGCAGAGGGAGCCATTCACCGTCCCCTCCTGACTCCCCCATCTGTATCTCTCTCTCTCTAGATGATTCCCCCAGACCAAGAGCTGCTGGTCTGGTACGGGAACTCCCACAACACCTTCCTGGGTATCCCAGGTGTGCCGGGGCTGGAAGAGGAGCAAAAGAAGAACAAACATGGTAGGTAACATCGGAAACAGCCACGGGTGCAGGATCCCTGCTCCTTCTCCATTCACCCTGTCCCCAGCTCTGAGGCCATGGGGTGGGCATGGGGCAGGGACATCCCAGGGGATATGTCAGATCTCCCAACTCTCTGGGGACAAACACAGGGACTATGAGACAGATCCATACAGCTTGAGCAGGTCCCCAGTAATTCGTGGTGTCGCCTCCGGGCCGGTTTGCCCACAGCTATTGCTGGTGTGGTGGCCAGTAGCTGCTGCCCGACGCAGCCGGGCAGGGAGGAGCAGGGCAGGCGTGTGAGTGGGAGGAAGGCATTCCCAGCGCACTGCGAAACACCGAGTGGATGCAGCTGCCTACGTCCCCACTCCGCATTTAACAGATCTTTCCCCAAATCACCACTGCAGGAGGCTTGTCTCTCCCCAGGCTTTCGCTCTTTGCTTGTCTTGGTGGTTCCCCAAGGTGCTCCTCCGCGGGCAGGCAGCAGAGCTCTCGGGCACTTTTGGGGATGCCGTGCTCAGAGCCAGACCGCACCCATGCTCCTCTGAGCAAGCTGGGTCACAGCCCAGCCGGGCAGGGGGAGAAGCTGGGACCGACACAGGGACGGTGTGCTGCTGCTAAAGAGCCTGGGCTGGAGGCCAGGGCAGCGCGGTTGTGAGCTGGGGGTTCCTGCGCTCACCGCCTCCAGCTCTACTTGCAGCCGAGGGAGGGGGAAAGCGCTTTTTGTGCCCATCTATAGGGGAGATAGATTGGCTTGAGTGTTCTCCCTCACCTAAATCTGGGTGAGCCCGTTCCCAGCTCTGGCCCCATCCCAAAGCCCTATGTGCCAGCCTGCGACTCTGCTCTGCCCGGGATGGGTGTCTCTGCTCATGGGTATCCTCAGCGGGCAGAGGAGCCAGCAAGGGGGCACGGGGTGGTTATTTAGAGCAGTCAGCGCCCTGGGGACTCGGGGAGAGGGTGAGCTGCTGTGCCGGAGGGCAGTGCCTGACTGTCCCCTGTTGCCCCCAGAGGATTTCCATGCGGTGGAGACGGGGGCCAGCACGACGGGGCGCATGCGCTGCGTCATCTGCCACCGCGGCTTCAACTCCCGCAGCAACCTGCGCTCCCACATGCGCATCCACACCCTGGACAAGCCCTTCGTGTGCCGCTTCTGCAACCGCCGCTTCAGCCAGTCCTCCACCCTCCGCAACCACGTCCGCTTGCACACCGGCGAGCGTCCCTACAAGTGCCAGGTTTGCCAAAGTGCCTACTCCCAGCTCGCCGGGCTGCGGGCACACCAGAAAAGCGCCCGCCATCGGCCTCCCAACGCCTCCCTGCAGGCTCACTCGCCGGCCCTGCCCGTGCCCCATCCCGCCTCCCTGGCCCATCACATCCCCACCATGGTGCTGTGAAGCCCCGGCGCAGCAGCGGGTTTTCGGACAGCAAAGACTGGCGCTGAGACATGCAATGAACTGGGGGGTGTTGGCCCTTGGCAGAGCTGGGGGCAGAGGCAGGGCTGCTTTGTGTGTTGAAGGGGTGTGTGTGCTGGTTTATTTTTGGAGCATCACCGTTCGCATGGGGTTTGGCTGGCTGTTCGGTGAGCGAGGGGACCTCCCCCCCAGCTCTGCGAGCCTCTGGTGCAGCCGCATCGTGCGGGATCCTCCCTGGGGAGATGGGGTGTGGTGGGGGCCCTTGGTGCTGGGGGTGGCGCGG